CTACTCACTACCTTGAATATTTATCCCTTTCCTCCCTGCCTAGAAATGTATTGTACTTATCCGTTTCCTTGCTGCCTTCTTGCCTTTCAGTTTCCTGGCCACTGCCAGGGTTTTTGCATATGATGTACTGGTATGGATGCTCCACTCCACTGCCACTTAGCTCTGCACTCCTGCTGCTCAGCCAGTCCACCACGCTACTCTCAGCTGCTGCTCTGGGTGCTCCACACTGCTACTCAGTTGGTCTACTGTGCTGCTCTCACGCACTGGTCTGCTGCCACTCAGCTCCATCCCACCACTGCTCAGTTAGCCTCTGTTTGCACCACTCCACCTTCACTCAGCTAGCCTCCATCCTGGAATCTCCTGGCTCCTGGGAGGCTGGACTCATTTGCTGGGTGACCAGGTCATCTTTCAGGTGGGTTGCACCGGGCTTCCTCTCAGCCAGGACATGGGGCTGCCCCTTAGCTGGGCATCCGGGCCACCTTCCTGTCTCTCAGCTGGGCCTCCAGGCTGCCTCTCAGCTCCCCCAGCTAAATCTTACCCCGGTATTTCTTTGCTTTGTCACAAGTCCACCAAAATGGTAGAAAGTTCATTTTTTACATTTACATTTCCAACATACATTTGAAGTATCTTTATACATCTTTGACAATTTATCAGGTGTTAAATACCAATGGTACATTATTTTAAGTTATGGCCCAATGTAAATTTAAAACCCTTTGCCCACATGTGTTCCCACTGTTCTAGCATTATATTATATCCAAATGTCTTTGTCCCTTGAATCATGCATTACTTCACATATTCTCCAAATTCAATTTCAATAACAGTTTATAAACCTTGGCAATAACATGTTCATCATTACTACACAATACAATTTCAAATTCATTCTTGTAAGGTCAAGCCCATATGGGTTTTTTGTTTAAATCTTTTTTTTTCCAGTTGTATATATGCAAACCCGTAGACTGTGGACCAGTAAAACACTATGGATATAATTTATAACTTCAGTAATGCATTAGATAAAGTAGACCATAACCTACTACTGGATGTGGGGTAGACAGCATCACCACCAGATGGATTTTTAACTGGCTGACCAACCACACTCAATGTGTAGTCCTTAAAGGAACTGCATCTATATGGAGGGAAGTATGCAGTGGAGTACCCCAGTCTCTGTCTTAGGCCAGTATTCTTCAGTATCTTCATCAATGATTTAGATGGGATAGAAGGGGAACTTGTCAAATTTGCAGATGACACCAAGCTGGTAGGAATAGTCAATACTCCAGAAGATAGGCTCAAGATACAGAAGGAGTTTGACAGACTTCAACACTGTACCCTATCTAACAAAATGAAATTCAGTGGTGAAAAAAGTAAGGTTCTACATTTAGGCAAGAAAAACCAAATGCATAGGTATGGAATAGGTGATACCCCGCTCAATAATAGCAGTGGTGGGTTTCTGCCGGATCGCACCGGTTCAGGAGAACTGGATGGTGAAATTTACCGATCCGATGAGAGGAGGTTCCACCGGTGAACCCGGAAGTAAGTTCCGGAATGCCTGCCCCGTCCGTCTCCCCGTGCTCAGAAAAGCGCTGTCTGGGGAGGTCCCTTACTGCCGGGCAGGCGTCCTAGAACCTGCCTGCCAGCAAAGGACTTAAACGGAATCGCTTTTCTGAGCACGGGGAGACAAGACAGTAGTCCTGTAACTGTCAATATCTAAAGCGTTTCCATGACTACTATCAACTTGAGAAGTGGGGGAAATGCCATGCATACCTTTGACCAGAGTAAAAAGTCTCATATTTCTGTAACTGGGATCTGAATGCGCATGTCCAGAACCCTGCCGTAACGTCCTGTTGGAGAATGTGATTGATGACTTCAGGCAGAGAGGAGGGGACACAGGGGTAAAGTTGATAGTAGTCA